CGGTTCCGGAGGTTTTGGTGACTTTGTATCTTTTGGTGAATCCGGAGGTTTTGGTGACTTCTGAGCTTTTGGTGATATCGGATCAGTTGGCGATTCGGGAACTTCAGGTGTTTCCCAAGCTTTAGGTGACTTCGGCTTTAGATCATGAGGTACTTCATCCGAAGTTTGAAACAAAGTCTCTGTGGTGTCTGTGGTTTTGGGCGAATCACTCAATGAATCCCCTAATGATGTCTTCGGCAACTCTTTCGGTAAATCTTTTGCCACCTTTTTTAGTGACTCTTTTGTGATTAACTTATTTTGCGACTCATTTGAAGACTGTTTCGCTGAAGAGTTATCTCCAGGTTTTTGTGTCTTATTTGATTTGTCTATACTTTTATCACTTTCTTTGTCACTCTCTTTGTCACTCTCTTTCTTACGTCTGGTCTTATCATCCATTTTCTCACCACTCTTGTGATCATCACTCGACTTATCTGTTTGTGACATAACTTCCTATGAGATCCAAATGAAACAATTCAAACCAATTGAAAACATTCAAAGAATTAATTGTATTTAGAAAACAGTTACTAAACTAAACGATAATTATTATTATATTTGCTTTCAATTGAGAGCGCGTTTATGTAAATCAATAATACAATGAGTGTTAATATCGTGAAAAATTTTTGAATTTCATTTAAAATAGCAATCAGTTGGCATTGAAACAAATAATTGGCACTAATTATGAGTCTCTTGTTAATTATTTTGTCCATTTCTGTAATAATCATATCACTTCCCATTGAGAGCACCTGTAGTTTAAATCCTTTCGAGCAAAGTAGCGATCCTTTCAAAGACTATATGAAATCAATGAAAGACTGCTATCAGAAGATCAGTGGTAAACAAGATTCTTGTGTCCACTCAGTGGCTGAGGAATGGAATTGTCTTTTGAATGGCAGTAAACATGAGATACAACTGAGTTGTGGTCAAGACGTGGGCCATCAGTGTTGTCCCATTTGGTGGATCGTTGAATGTCAGCGCAAAGTCATTGGAGACGATTGCGGATCAGATGTCTTGGAGTCGTTCAACAAAATCGTATTCAATCCACAAATCGCTAGAAATGAGCGCAAAGACTGCTCTAAATATAAGATGGGATCAAATGATTGCAAATCTCTTAAGAGATTTAATGACGATCTGGAGGTTATACCAGGAGTTCCGCCCAAACCACAGCCTATTGTCGAGAGTGAATACCCTGGAGACAGTTCCCATGAATCTGAACATTTGATTCAAGAGTTACGACAATCTAATGCTTTCAATCAAATAGTTTTGTCCAAAACTTTTATAATATTTGCGATTATTATTCAATATTTCTTATTTTTATTGATTGTATAGTAAATGATTTATAAAGTAATTCACAAGAAATTTATGGTAACTTAGTCTTATGCATTTATAAATTAAAATTATGTGTTTTATTTATTAATTACTGAATCTGTTTTACAGAATCAGTAAACAGTATATAACTTATGAATCAATTCTACAGTATTTATTTTTGTAAGAAATATAAATTATGTTTTATTTAAAATACAATATATTTTGATTATTATTACATTAAATATTCATAAAATCTATTTACAATTGCAATACATTTATACGAAAACATGAATTTTGGTATAAAAACAAGTGTTGAACTAAATGTCAAGCGTTTTGGTGTTTGTATGGATAGGCATCACTTGACATGACTTGACTTCTTGTCGAGTCTGAACTTTTCGGGAGATATAACGCCCAGGGATTTGGTCGGCTTTACGATCACACTTCCGGTGTAGAGTTCTTTGGAATCGGCTTTGGAATAAGATATCGATTCTGTGGATCCAGATCTCTGTGTCGGTGCCGTTGTCGGTGTCGATGGTGGTGTCAATGTCGGTGTCTGTTGCTCCTGGTCTTTGGCCACCCGGCCCTCTGACCGCACTTTCCTATGGGTCGAACTTTTAGAGTGTTGGCGGTTAGGAGTCGTCCCATCACTACCACTACCACTCTCCACGTCCGAGCCCTAGCGGCCGCTACTTATTCAGCAGTTAGCTATGTTCATAGCCTACTAGTGTTTGTGGCCATTGGTGTTCTTTGTTTACCGGCGGTTACTCTGGTAATTATCGTTCTTCATGACGTTGAGAAGCGATTGATCTTGGAATTCATCACTGATTTGGATGCGATATCTGGTGCCCACGAAGTGCGGGATGAATATGAAGAGCATTAGAGATGTGGCGATAATTAGCGTCAGATATAGGGATCGAAACACTTTCCAAAACACCGAACTCTGTCTTAACTGTACTTTCATTGGACTACAAGTGCTGTTATAATTGGACTTAATCACCGACCGGTAGATATAGGCTATGATTTGCGTGACTGTCGGCCCCGCGAGACTGGACACCAATACGGCTAAAACACTGGCCCTCAGCCGATAGGTAGCGGAAAATGACATCAATATACCGACGATTAGAGAGAATGTCAGATGAATTAGTAGTGATATGAAGACAAACGTCTCGAACCACTGAAGCTTTGGCGACAGAAAGACAGCATTTGTTTCTTCGGTGTCATTCTTCGTTCGCCGGCGATGAATAAGTCGTCAATCGATACAAGTATCGGATGATCACAAACACCGGTAACCACAAGAAACAAATGGCCGCCAATGAGACCATTAATAGCAAGAAGTACTGCAACTCTTCGCTAACGTCTTGGAATTGATCACTGATTTGGATGCGATATCCGGTGCCCACGAAGTGCGGGATGAATATAAAGAGCATTAGAGATGTGGCGATAATTAGCGTCAGATATAGGGATCGAAACACTTTCCAAAACACCGAACTCTGTCTTAACTGTACTTTCATTGGACTACAAGAGCTGTTATAATTGGACTTAATCACCGACCGGTAGATATAGGCTATGATTTGCGTGACTGTCGGCCCCGCGAGACTGGACACCAATACGGCTAAAACACTGGCCCTCAGCCGATAGTTAGCGGAAAAGCTGTAGTTATATGGCTGCTAATCTCTCTTACAGTCTACTTAATCATCACTATACTTCTGTTTGCAGAGCTTGGTGACTTCGAAACCGCTGTCTTTCTGTCGTAAACAAAGAAGCCACAGTAAGAAGCATGTCGTGTTCTGTTGTCCATAAGACTCGTAGTCCAGAGATCTGAAGTCGGGGTAAAAGGTCTGTTTGGAGTAAAACATCAGTTTCTGTGGTTTCACGTAATGAATGACTGTTTTAGTGATCTCTCGATTCTCGATGAAGGATCGGATGGGAAGGTAGGTTCGGTCGCCTGTGAACTGGTCGTTGATTTCGATGCCTTTGAGGAATATCTTGGCATCTATTTAGTGGTTAAAGTATCTGTTAATCAAAGGTTTATAACACGGTTACCACGGTTACCTTTGCCGCTACTATGAATAGCCCGGATCCTAGTGATGGCCGGAAGTGGTGTCTCGCGAATGAGAACAAACATTCCTCGTCTGTCACTCGACCACAGATCACATCTTCTTTTGGCGTTACACCTGAAGTCGACCACAAGTGTGGCGACTCTGACCTTTTGCTTCTTACCCGTAGACTCCTTATGGATCAACTCGATAGAGACGCCGCCCTTCTTGAGGTCGAAGTCGGGGGTCGGGTCACAGAAGATGGGTTCGCAAACGTACCGAAAGTATGGTTTCTCTTGGGTTTCTTTGCTCTTCTGGACCCCTTTCTGGTAGACCTCCGGCGCCTCCTTTCCGCACAAACAGTTGACCATTAGTTGGAAGACAAACCACACGAGCAGTAAAACCCATATGAAGACTATGACTATCAGTATCGAGCCGTTCATCTCATCCATGGTGTCGTTCAATATATTGTCAGACATTTCATCTAAAGATTAATCCGTTTTTATAACAGTTTTATAGGGAATTAGTGCCAAATGTTTGAATTGTCGCGCGATTTAAGTATAGTTTTAATTTTTAAGTTTAAGTCATTTATCACATTATCTGTAGAATTGACTGTAATTTTAATCCTTTATCTCTAGAAACCAGTCATTCCTATCATTCCTATCGACTATACACTGAAACTATAGCCAAAGACTATGTCGTTCTCACTGTTTGGTGGATCGCACGCTACCGGTGCCGCTCGCACCGGGAATCTCGTTGAGTTCAAAGCGGGAAAAATGACCAAAACTGGAAACACTGTGAGTATACTCGTGTAACATACACGTCCTCACACTCATAGTCAACCCACTAATCCATACCCCAATCGCACCGTTAGGTAAGTCCTGTGAAGGGCCGCAAAGGACTGGTATATCTGCGTCTAAATGAAGACGAAATGGTTGTCTTCAGTTGGAAAGACAGAGACTCTGGTCATGTGGAGGATGTAAGGGCACAGGTAGTCAACCAATCGATCACTAAAATTAATGGCATATTTCTGTTAACCCCTCATAACCTACCGGCGCTGACATCAGGAGCTGTTCCTAATGCCCGGCGACGCAGAGTTCAAGAAAGTAAGTCAATGCACGACCGGACGGGTGTTTGTGTTGAAGATAACGGCCGACGCCTCCCGGCGCTACTTCTACTGGAGTCAAGAGTCCAACAGTAAGGCCTACAAAGACGACGAGTTGGTCCGCAAGTTCAACGATCTCATGAATCATCCGCCGGCTCCGGGCGCTCACGCGGCGCCCGGAAGTTCAGGCGCTCACGGGGTGCCCGACTTGGCCGCCCTGGCCGGTGGCACTGACCTCATGTCAATGCTCCAGAATCTGACTCCTAATCAGATCCAGTCGTTGGCCGAACACATCCAGGCTTCCGAACACTCACCCGATGGTCGCACGGATTCGCGCAGAAGAAGGAGTTCTTCATCGACCTCATCCACACACTCGACGGCATCGGGCAGTAGTGGTACGGCAGCCGGTGGTGCACACAGTGGCGGAACTTCAGCCGGCGCTGGACAGGCGTCGAGTAGCGGCACCAGTAATAGAAATCGCATAGAATTGTCTCAATTGCAGTCTGTCATCAGTGGTCTCAACCTTCCGCCCACACCATCCACTCCATCCACACCATCCACTTCAACCACTCCATCCACTGCGAGCACAGGTATGCAAATGGGTTTTTGTACATTATTTGTGGTATATGTCTGACATCTCTGTCCATCAGTTCCGGTAACTGATCACAGCTATAGCCCAACACTGGAAGGACTGCAACCACTGCTCAGTAATGAGGCGTTTATGCGAAGAGTGCGCCAATCATTGCCCGCCACCGCCGACCCCAATCTCAGCGCTACCAGTGCCCTAACCGCTGCTATACGTGCAAAGAGTTTGGATGCAATCGTACGGGAGTTTAATTTGGGACAGGAATGTGTCGATGCGGCCAATGAAGGGGGTATTCCTCGAGATATATTTAGTCTTTTAATAGGTTTTTAATTTTTGAAAACTTTTTTTTGATGCAAAAGATGTGCAAAAGTTTGTGAACGCATACAAAAAGAAGAGCAAAACCCACAAAAATGGGACCAAAAGTGACAAAAATGGGTCCAAAAGAAAGAAAAGTAGGAAAAGTAAGAAAGACGACGACATGGACCTGGATTAGAGTCGACACAAACCTACCCTTTCTTTAGTCGATATGTTTTCTCAAAGAATTATAATTTTTGTTTTTTCGATTAGTATTTAAACACTTGATATAAATCTAAATTCTCGATATTATATGACATTTTGTAATCTATTTATCAAATAATTTATTATAATTTTATAACAAAAACAAACAAAATTCAATCAAATCAGTCATCGATGGTGTTATAAATCTTAACGTTTCGTTGGGAACTAATCTTTTTCATGTAAAACAATCGTCGGATCACATCCTCGTCCTCGTGCTCCAGGTCTTCGCCGGTCTTCCACACAGTTTGCGGTAAATATATTTCCAACGCTTTTCTCATATCTTTATGATCGCGAAAATACGACATTATCTCCAGAGTGTTGGACAACTCTAAGTGATAGTTGCCTTTAAGTGTACCGTACTCTTCGACTGGGATCCGCTTCATAGGAATCCCTTCGTGTCGGACACGCATCTGATTATCAATGAAATCCAAAAAGTTTAGTCACTATTCAGTAAATTGAAATCATTTAAGATATTAAGACATACCATAGAGAGCGGCAGATCCATGCGGTGATGACAGACACCGGGCAGTATGTAGATGGTGTCGTTGTCATAGGTGTCCAGCGGTTCCACCGCTTGTGGACATATATAACAGAGTTTATTGCAATCAAAATGATTGAGGTATGAATCGGAAGTAGTGTTTATGTAGTACTCAATGAGTGGGTGTTTTTGAAAGTAATTATCCATTAATCGCATCATAAGTCCGTTTGGGTCTAAATTACAGAAACTGATATCAAACGGGTCTTTGTGTCCATATCTACACAAATATGACATCAAAACAGTTAATGAAACAAATTTTAATTGAATTCAGTTTTGCAAATACTTATTGAATTCAAACATTTTGGCCATTTTTGAGTAGTGAGCAAACCTACATTACGGTCACTTTATCAAAAGTTTAGGCTTCAGTTACTGATCAAAAACAGGCTTTTCGCGTCTACAGAACTCTGCTCAAGACCACTACATAAGGAACGGCTGTGTCGGTCTAATTCTGGTGAACAGAGTGTTATGCCATAAGCCATACATTATCTCATTGTTATCGCCGAAGATACCGATCCTCGACGTGTGTCCACTGTTTTTCAGATCCAATCTCTCCTTGTTTTGTGACACTTCTGTGCATCGGATCCGCAAAACAAATCAATTACACGATAATCAACGCATAGGTAATAAGCAAACCCTCTCTTCGGCGACACTTCTCCGCAAACCGCGTCAGTTCCAAGTCGTACAAGAAGTGGATCTGTTGTCGGATCTCGTGGTTGAGGTCCAGCTCTAACAGGTCTCGCATGTGATCTTCAGTGAGACGAGTGGGCACTCGGAATGAAGTCCTCAAGAGTTCGTTATATATGTCGCAAATGTCTTGTATTTTGCGGTACTGTTTGTCAAAGTCTTCGGAACCGCTGTTGTCTTCAAACCTCAAAACATTCAGCCATTGTTTGTATTGTTTGCCATCAATTGGTGCCAACTCTTGGCGGCGATTGTCTTGAAACTCATTCTCGTATCTAATCTTAAGACTCAATGCATTCAACAGTTTCTGTCTTTTGCTGANAAACATTCAGCCATTGTTTGTATTGTTTGCCATCAATTGGTGCCAACTCTTGGCGGCGATTGTCTTGAAACTCATTCTCGTATCTAATCTTAAGACTCAATGCATTCAACAGTTTCTGTCTTTTGCTGAGTCTCTCCTTCGGTCGATGTCTTTGTGGACCACTTTTGGACACATTCTTCGAGATCTCGTCTCGGTTTCGGTTTCTGCTCTCATGTGATGACAACTTTTTGTCGCAATTTATGACAACTTTTGCAAAGTTTTTGACACAACGTGTGTGTATTGACCACAATCTCACACATAATATACTATTCATAACCCAATTGTCACTCAAATTAAGTGTAATTTTGTGTAAAATTAAAATTAAAACTATTTTTGAGGTTTTGTTTTGATTTCAAAATAGACTTTTAAATTAAATACAATTTAAGCCTTTTGTATATATAACACCCATAGTATCATATAGTAGTATATTAGATAAAAAGGTTCCATATTTACGGTCAGTTCATTCATAAATATCATAGAGATTTCTTATGACAAGTTTTACCAAAGTTTTTATTCATAGACTTCAATACAAATGCGGTAAACATTT